TTCCATGTGGGTGCTGGGAACTGAATCTGGGTCCTTTGGAAGAGCAACCAGTGCTCTTAACCACTAAGCCATTTCTCAAACCTCCCAGCCTGTACTATTTTTTAAATTCCAACTCTTTATTATTATATTGTATAAAATGAGTGCTTTAATTAACGTAGTTATGTATATTTCTCCCTGATAAACTGCGACCTGGGAGATGTAAGCTGAATAAACCCTTTCCTCCCCAAGTTGGTAGTGGTCAGAGTGCTTTGTCACAGCAATGAAGAAACAAACTAGGACAGGCTCCAACTGGCCTGGAACTCACTATGTAAACCAGGGTGGCCTGGAACTTACAGAGGTCGCCTGCCTCTGTCTCCCAAGTGCTGGGACTAAAGGCGTGTGCCACCACGCCTCGCATCTTGTGTCTCTTTTTAACCTTTCAAAAACCTATTGAGACACTGATAATTTTACTTTTAAAAAATATTTTATTTATTATTTTTATGTTTAGGAATGTATTTCCTGCATGTATGTAAGTGCATCTGTGTTGTGCAGTGCCTGTGGAGGTCAGAAGAGGGTGTCGGATCCCCTGGAACTGGAGTTAACAGATGGTTGTTAGCTGCCATGTGAATGCTGTGAATAAAACCCGAGTCCTCTGCAAGAGCAGTCAGTGCACTTAACCACTGGGCCATCTCTTCAGTCTCAACATTAATAATTTAAAAAATTTTAATTTTATGTGTATGAGTGTTTTGACTGCATGTATGTAAATGAACTCATGGGTGCAATGTACACAGAGGCCAAAAGAGGGTGTCAGATCCCTTGGAACTGTTGTTACATCAGTTGTTAGCTGCCATGTGGGTGCTAGGAACCTAATCTGCTCTCTGCAAGAGCGGCCAGTGCTCTTAACGACTGAGCCTTCTCTCCAGTTCCAAAACACTGATAGTGTTTTAAAAAATGTCACCTTTGCCGGACATGGTAGTGCATGCCTTCAATCCCAACACTTGGGAGGCAGAGGCAGACAGATCTCTGTGAGTTCCTGTCTCAAAAAGACTGAAAAAGGGGGACTGGAGAGATGGCTCAGCAGTTAAGAACAGTGGTTGTTCTTGCAGAAGACCCGGGTTCGAATCCTAGCACCCACATGGTAGTTAACAACTGCCCGTAACTCCAGTTCCAAGGGATCTGATGGCCTCTTCTGTCCTTTGTGGACACTGCACGACATGAGTGCACTTACCTACGTGCAGGCAGTTGACACGTACACATAAAAAAAAAAAAAAAAAGACCAAAAAAGTCACCTTTACTGTATGTTAAGAATGAAATGTCCACACTCTTTACATCTCTTTATTATGTTTCCTTTTTTGTTTCAGAGAGAATGATGTTTACAGTTGTGTATAGTGGGGTCTACAACAAGAAGTGTGTATTTTCAAATTAAAAAAATGATTTAGCAATTTTTGTCAATCATTTTCAGGTTTCTGCAGCTGTATATTGTCACTGGGGGCCCTTGCTTGATCAAGTATATGTGTATTTGCAATATCAAATATACAGGCTTAACATTTTTGGTTTCGTATTTTTTCTCACGTGTAATGTTTTCATTGAGATGGTATATTTCGGACAAGTTACTGTGTAAAAAAGCAATTGGAGGGGGCTGGAGAGATGGCTCAGCATAAGAGCATTGACTGCTCTTGCAGAGGACCCGGGTTCGATTCCCAGCACCCACATGGAGGCTATGAACCATCCTTAACTCCAGTTCCAGGGGAATCCGATGCCCTCTTCTGACCTCCATGGCATTGCACGACACGGGTGCACTCACACATATTCAGGCAATACACTCATACACATAAAATAAAAATAAAAAAAAAAGCAATTTGAATCCTGTGTAACTGGTCATGTCAAGGCATAATTTACAGTAACTATTGCTGCTTTAAAAATTTTTAGAGGGGTGGCTGGAGAGATGGCTTAGTTGTTGAGAGCACTTCCTGCTCTTCCAAAGAACCCAAGTTGTCTTCCTAGTACCCACGTAGATACAGGTACTGCCTGTAACTCCAGCTCCAGTGGATCTGATGCCCTCTTCTGGCCTCTTCAGGCACCTGCACACATGTGGCATACACAGACACAGACACATATATACATATAAATAAAAATAAAAATAGATCCTTAAACATTTACATTTATTGTGTGTGTGTGTGTGTGTGTGTGTGTGTGTGTATGTCTGTGTGTACATGCATGCCATGGCGCACTTTTAGAGGTCAGAGGACAACTTATAGAAGCTGATTCTCTCCTTCTACCATGTGGGTGCTGGAGAATTGAACTTGTGTTTTCAGGTGTGGCATCAGGTGCCTTTAGTTGCTGAGCCACCTCCCCAGCCTCTATTGCTGTTTTAGTTAACAATGCCTTATAAGATCATCCTTAGCTACATAGTGAATTAGAGGGCCAGCCTGGACTATCTACTTGAGATTGTATCTCAAAAAAAAAAACAAAACAAAAACAAAAACAAAAACAAAGTAAGGGACTGGAAGATGGCTCAGCAGTTAAGAGCACTGGCTGCTCTTGCAGAGGGTCAGGTTCGATTCCTAGCACCAACATGGTGGCTGAAAACTGCAACTCCAGTTCCAGGGGAATCCAACATTTTCTCTGACCTCTATGGGCATTGCATGACATGGATGCACTTACACACGTACGCAATACACTCATACACATAAAAAACAAACAAACAAACAGGGGCTGGAGAGATGGCTCAGCAGTTAAGAGCACTGACTGCTCTTGCAGAGGACCCGGGTTCGATTCCCAACACCCACATGGTGGCTATGAACTGTCCTTAACTCCAGTTCCAGACGAATCTGAAGCCCCCTTCTAACGTCCGCGGCATTGCATGACATGGGTGCACTTACATACATGCAGGCAATACACGAATACACATAAAAAAAAACCCAAAAAAACAGAAAACAATGACAAAAAACCAAACTAAAATCAGGGTTGGTGAGATGGGTCTGGCAACCTGAATTTGGTTCCTAGAACTTTCATAAAGGTGGAAGGAGAGAACCAACTCCTGAAAGCTGTCCTCTGACCTCCATATGCACACTGTGGCACATGTGTTGCTCCCTGTTATGCAGGTGTGTGTGGACACACACACACACACACACACACACACACACACACACACCTACAATTAAAAAATTAAAAACAAAAACAGGACTGTAGAGATGGCTCAATGGTTAAGAGTACTGGCTGCTTTTTCTTGCAGAGGACCTGAGTTTGAAGCCCAGCACCCACATGGTGGCTAACTATAGTCCCGTAACTCCTGTTCCAGGGGATCCGACACCCTCTTCTGACCTCTGTGAGCATTGCACAACATGGATGCACTTACACACATGCAGACATAGCACTCATAGACATAAAATAAAAATAAATATATCAAAAAACAACAAAACAACAAAAACAAAAGGACAGGTGTGGTGGCACAGGCCTTTAATCCCAGCACTTGGGAGGCAGAGGCAGGTAGATCTCTGTGAGACTGAGGCCAGCTTGGTGAGTTTCAGGCCAGCTGGGGCTACAGGGGACCCTGTCTCAAAAACAAACAAAAAAGCAAAACCAAAACAAAAACCAAAACAACAACAAAACATCCCAGTCTCCCCCCCCAAAAAAACCCAACCAAACAAAAAAGCTAATCCCAACATTCTAGATGTGGAAGCAGGAGGATCAGAAGTTCAGGGTTATCCTTGATGACATAGTGAGTTTTAGGCCAGTTTGGGCTATGACCCTGTCTCAAAATAAAATAAAATAAAGTAAAATAAAATAAAATAAAATAAAATAAGCTTAAATAAATAAGGGCTGGGCGTGGTGGTGCACGCCTTTAATCCCAGCACTCAGGAGGCAGAGGCAGGCGGATCTCTTCGAGTTCAAGGCCAGCCTGATCTACATAGTGAGTTCCAGGACAGCTGGGGCTACAGGGAGACCCTGTCTCAAAAAGATCAAAAAAAAAAAAAAAAGATCATTGGGACGAGAAGTAGTCTAAGATACAACCTCCAAGTCCTCAATATTAAGAGGATGGTTCTTGGAGGAAATGGCAGCAAAGCAGGGAAGACAGGATAGGGGCAATTTTGGGGTAGGAAGGAGCCACCCAAGCCTGTATTAAGATAAAGTTTGAGGGTGGTCACTGGACTCAGGGGCACTGGCAGCATGAAGGGGCCTTGAGGGTTAGAAAGAATTTATAAAGCTGACTCAACCAGTGTAGATGGGCTTTCCTAGGCCAGGCCAAAGTCAACATCTGCGGGAGGCTGGTGACATTTTTTAGCTTGAGAAAAGTAGCTGAGAAGCGTCCAGGAGAGGGAGTCATTATTGCTGCCGCTACTGGGCTTGGTAATGCCTCTAGCCATCGCCCAGGCCTTCAGGGACAAGGAGGCCACGATTCATGACACGGATGGCTTCAACTGGCAGTCCTTGATTGTCAGTCTTTATGGCTTCCTGGACCTGGACTCTCAAGACCCTGAACTGACTGAAGACTGCATCCAGAGGACAGGGTGATAATGGTCTTGAATGGAAGGGGCAACTTCTCCCTTGGAAGGGTGGGTGTCTGGGCTAGGATGGCCATTGTCACTTATTCATCAAAGGCCAAGTGTCCACTGAGAACTGGGCAGTGCCTAGGGCTACAGATTTGGCAGTGAATACTAAATTCACACTCAATTCCCAAAGAGCAGACAGATGAAGGATAGTTACTGGGTCTCTTCCTCTCTTGAGGTTCTTACTATGATGGCCAATGCTAGGTATAACAGTTCCCCTGGGGGCCCAGGAGAGCCTAAGGCCATCTCAGGAAGATGGAGAAATTATTTCTTCATCTTGCATGGCAGGCAGAACTCACTCACTACCCAGATCCTTGTGAGGCAAGAGCAGGAAGTGAGGCAAGTGCCAGCCCACATCCTGGCAGGCAGCCAGTGATGGGGACAGGTCAGGAAGGCCTCTGGTTGGGTTTTTACATCAGGCTCAAGCTGGACATAAAGGAGGCTCCATGGGCTGGAGGAGGCAGTCTTGGTGATCATGCAGACCCAGAAGGATGGTCCCTGCCTGGGGAGGTGGTTACTGTTGTTGATGCTGGACCTGGTGATGCCTCTAGCCATCTCTAAGACCCTCAGTACCAGGGAGGCCGTGCTCCGTGCTGTGGATGACTTCAACCAGCGGTCCTTGGATACTAATCTCTACCGCCTCTTGGACCTGGACTCCCAGTCCTCAGGGGTGAGGTGGGGGAAGAATAAGCTCTGCTCAAAGGCACTTCCCCCTTTTAGTGTGGTCTCACTTTTTTCAGGAAACTTCCTAGACTGTGTCCTCTTCCAGAATGACAGCTTTTAGCCTTAGAATCACTGCTGTGGCAGAAATGCCCATAATCCCACTTCAGGAATGTATGGGACCTCTAGGACAAGGGAGAATCATTGGCTCCAGGGATTGACTGTTTCTGCTCTGACTTCTTTTGTATACAAGGAAGAACTTTGCCTAGTCTTGAGGTCCCAGTGGATGTGTCTGATCCTCCGGGAAGACCTTGGCCTCTTTTTCCCTTTCCCCAGAGAGGGAGGTGCTTCTCACTGAGGGCTATCTCCACTCACTGTGTGTACATGGAGTACAGGAAGGGGCTTATCTGCTTCCTCTCTGTACCCCAGCATAGGTTCCATGTTCAACACCTAGCATGTAGTATTGAAAGACTGCTCTCCTTATGGGCATCAGGGAGACTCATCCAAGAAAGTGAGAATGGGTTCGAGACTAGTCTCTCTACTTCCTCCCCTGACCAGGATGAGGACCCAGATACCCCAAAGCATGTGAGATTCACAGTGAAGGAGACAGTGTGTCACAAGGCATCGAAGCAGCTACTGGAACAATGTGACTTCAAGGAACATGGGGTGAGGCGATGGGCTGGGGTGGTTGGTGGGTGCTTCCTGAGGAGCTAAACAGAATCCCAGGGGAATGTTTCCATCCAGTGGGCTAAGGTTTAGGGGTTAGGGGTTATGGCAAATAGCTTCCAGTTTGACCTTATGCTTCCTCTTTACAGCTGGTGAAGCAGTGTATGGGGACAGTCACCCTGGATGAGGCCACAGGCTCCTTTGATGTCAGCTGTAATGGGGTGAGTGGGCTTTTCTGGGATGCAGGAGCTGGTGAGGGGATGGAACATGGATCATTCTGTGGACCAATTAGCCCCTGCCCCACCCAGAGTGGAGAAACTCTCAGAGTGGTGGCTCTTGAAGTTTGGTTCTTACTTGGGAGGCAGAGGCAGGTAGATCTCTGTAAGTTTGAGGCCAGACATACCTGGGAACTTGTTAGGGATGCAGATTCTTAGGCCCCACTAGACTTACTGAATAGGGTTCTGGGGTGGAGCCTCACCATCTAGATTTTAACGTCGCTTGTTGGATATTCTAAGGCTGAGAGCATTGTCTTAGAGTATACTCTTGCAGGACTCCAGGGAGCTCCTTCTATTTCCAGGCTCCAGGGTTTTCCTCTTTGGAGATCCAGCCACATGTCCAAAGGCTGAACTGGGGCCCTGAGTCTCTTGGAGTAGCTCAGAAGTGGCATCTAGGTAGGGAGGGGCCTTGGAATGTTCCCAGCCCCACAAGGAAACACATTTCTTCCTTATATACAGCCCCAACGATTCAAGAAAGTTTCACAGCTCACTGGGCTCCTCCGAAAAGGTGGGCTGAAGATTGGTGAAAAGATTCAGAAAATTGGCCAGAAAATCCAGGATTTTTTTCAGAAATTTATTCCTGAGACAGGGGAGTAGGTCTGTCCTTGCCTGCTTCTGGACTCTGAAAAATAAACTCTGTGAAAGCAACTTCTCTAAGATTTTGTCTTATTTGGTCCTCAAGTCTGAGAGTGCGTGTGCACACATCTGTGTGTGTGTGTGTGTGTGTGTGTGTGTGTGTGTGTGTGTGTGTGTGTGTGTGTGTGTGTGTGTGTGTATGGGGGGGAGTGAGGGGAGTGGGGAGGGAGAGGGAGAAGAAGAGGAAGAGAAGGGGAATTAGTAGCTGTTCCATCCAGGAGGCATGTGGTAAGGCAGCAGGGCCAGAGGTCCAGGAAAGCATCTCCATTCTTTTTTTTTTGAGACAGTCTCTCTGTAGAGTCTCCCAGCTTGCCTGGAACTTACTATGTAGACTGGGATGGCCTCGATCTCACAGAGACCCACTTGCCTCTGCTTCCCAAGTGCAGAGATTAAAGGCATGCACCACCAAGTCTGCATCTCCATCCTCAGGGCCCTCCTCTAGGCCCTTTGCACACCTGCTGCTTTCCTCAGTTGAACACTTAGCAGGCACCTGAGATTTCCTGAAGACAGCGATGGTGGTGATGCTATGAAGTTGCTCCTGCTCATAGGGAGGCAACATTTGAGGGGAAAGCAGCCTGTTCTGTTAAAAGTCTAGCCTGTGAATGGCTGGATGATCAGGTACTGTCAGTGTGCCAGTGAAATTCCAATAAAGTTCTAGTCTTCCTTCACAATCTTTTTTGTTTTATTTTTTATTTCATATTATTTTTTGGATTTATATATTTTATTCTTATGTGTATGAGTGTGTTTTGCATGTAAGTATACCACATGTATGCAATACCCACAGAGGCTAGAAGAGGGCTTTGAGTCCCTTGGAATTGGAATTACAGATGGTTGTTAGCTGCCATGGGGGTACTAGGAACTGAATTGTGGGTCCTTTGTAGGAACAGTTGCCATGTGGGTGCTGGGAACTGAATGTGGGTCCTCTGTAAGAGTAGTCAGTGCTCTTAACCATCTGAACCAAGTCTCCAGCCCCTCCTTCACAGTCTTATCTCTGAAAAGCCCAGGACTCCTGGTTTCCCTTCTGGTATGAGGGAAGATACAGCATTGCTTTTCCAGCTGAGTGCAAAAATTTATACCCTTAAAAACAAGAATCCTGAAGAGCTCTGGCTAGGAAGACTTTGCAGGGCAGCAGCCTGAAGGTGTTTCAGATATGTTTGTGTCCTGCCTGTTGGCCACTCTGTTGGTGACCAGAAACACCTATGGTTCTTGTTTGTGGGTGGGCAGACCAGATGTACTGGTGGTGCTCTACACAGCAGCTTCACCTAAAGCTGAATGGGAGTTGGTGGAAATGTCCTTGCTTCCTTCATTCTTGCATAGGCCTATAGCAGGTTAACATCTCAAGCCCCAGCTGAGTTGTGCCCCTGTCACCCATAGCAACAATCTGTTTGTTTGTTTTGTGTTTTGAGGTTCTTTTCTTCTGTTGTTTTTAGATATAGTCTCACTATTTAGCCCTGGCTAACCTGGAACTTGTTATGTAGGCCAGGCTGACCTCGAACTCACAGAGATCCACCTGCCTCTATTTCTGGGACTAAAGACGTGCACCATCATGCCAAGCTTAAGACAGATTCTTGCTATGTAGAGTTGGTTAGCCTGGTATTTCCTATGTAGGTTAAGCTGGCTTGGAACTCATGGCAATCCTCCTGCCTCAGCTGCCTAACTGCTGGGATGACAGCTATATGCCACCATACCTGGCTACAACTGTCTTTCCACTCCTGTTCTTTCTCATTTCACTGTACTGTGCTGGGGCTTTCTGCAGTTATCTCATCAATAAATTCCTCCGACTTGAGTCCTTGTCTTAGGCCTGCTTCTGGGCCAACTGCAGTATAACACAAATGCCCCTATCTGAGAGGAGCGGTGGGCAGTCTCAGAGCTTTTACTTAGGTATCTGCCATGTTTGCTTCTCATTGAGCAGGTGTGGCTGATTGCAAGCAGGTTAGAGGAACCCAGGACCTTCATCCCCTCTACATCCTGTAATCCCATCATTTGGGAGGCTGAAGCAGGAGGCAGGATTGCCCTGAGTTCTAGGCCAGTCTGGGCTATATAGAGAGACTGGTCTTGAAAATTCAAACCAGAAAAAAAAGTTCTGCAGAGGAAACTCAGGGGAATGAGTTGTACAAATTAATTGTTAAGCTTTCCAGAATTTTTTGAGCTGTATGTAAACTCTTAGTACCTTGAAATCAGCCATGGTGGGAAAGATATTTACATTCAGGAAGTCTGCAAATGCTATAAATCAGCCCTCATTCCAGCTAGCACACTTCTACCCTGCCCTGCCCCCTCCCCTCCCCTCCCTCCCTTCCTTCTTTCCTTCCTTCCCTCCCCCCTTCCTTCCTTTTGGACAGGGTCTCATATAGCTTGGGCTGGTCTTGAACATGTTGTGTAGTTGAGGATGGCCTTGGGTTCCTGATCCTCCTGCCTCTACCTCCCAAGTGATTTTTGTGTGTATGAGTGTTTTGCCTACTTGTATGTAAGTATACCACATATGTTCCTGGGACCCATGGATGCCAGAAGAGGGCATTGGATCCCCTGGAACTGGAGTTACAGGTAGTCATAAGCAACCACGTAGGTGCTGGGAATTGAACCTGGGTCCTCTGCAAGAGCAGCAAGTGCTCTTAACCACTGGGCCACCTCTCCAGCCCCCTGCGTTGCACTCTGATATTCTTCCTGGCTCTTGGTCACATACAAGGCCAGCACCATATACACCTGATTGCTGATACCTGAAAGGAATGGATGTTTACATCTTTGCCACCTCACCTTTGGTCATGGAGCTGTCACTAGCCTCTGACAGGGAGGTCGGAGGCCTGGGCAGTGCCTCTAAACCTGCTATCTGAGTCTTAGATGATGAGAGAATGCATTTTAGTACCTGTCATGAATGACACTGGAGCATGAGGAATGGCACCCTTGGATTGTTCATTCTCTTTGATGCCTATGGTATTGTGGGAAATGCAAAGGAGGGGATCCATGCCCAACATGGGGAAAGGAAGGTGTTCCTGGGACAGAATACAGCCTGAGAAAAGGGACAGTGACCAGCATGGTGCAGAGGAGGAGTGGCTGTTTGGTAGCCAAGACAGGCATGTGAGGGGGTGGGGCGGGGGTCAAAGTGGAGAGATGCACAGAAGAGCAGTAAGGAGCAAGTAATGGTCTTGGAGGGAGAGATTGGATTCTCTGACCATTTTAGCCAGGTCAGTGAGTGGGTGGGGGAATGGGCAGGGAGAGCAAGCATATGCTCCTCAGGGTAGAGACTGGAAAGGAGAGGAAGGAAAGACTAGAGGGATAGTTGGCCCTAAGGGTGATAGTGTGGGGCAATTGGAGACAGGGCTGTCTTGGAAAGGGGGAGGCAAGCTGCTTCCTTGGTGATGATGGCTTGCTGGTTAGTGGCACTTCTTGAGAGGATGGTCCTGGGTGGGACAGGTTCCTGGTGTAGGTATGAGATGAGGGCGAGGGGAAGATGACAAGCTCAGTTTTGAACACAGTAGCTGTGAAGCATTAGTGGAATGTGGTGCCTGGGTGGGGCACTGGGAGAAGGGTTACAGAGGTGAACTGAAGTTCCTATATGTTAAAAGGCCACATCTAATGTAAACACTCTACACTGCTGATTGACTGATGAAAACTGCGCTTGTGGAGAGTTGGAATGTTACAGACTGGGAGCCAGATTATCTTGGGCTAATCTTTAGCCCCCTAAATAGTGACTTATTACCTACTTCTGTGTGTGACTATTAGGTAAAATCCTTTTTGGAATGTACAAACCTCTAGATCCCACCAATTCAAAGGCCAAGAATATCATCAGATAGTATCTGTTGATAGCAGACTTCTCTGTTTTGCTGTAACCTACCTATCTGATATTTCTACCAAGGTATTTTTTAAAAAGTCTTGATTAGGCCAGATGTGATGGCACCTGTCTTTAATCTTAGCTCTTGGGAGGCAGAGGCAGGTAGATCTATGTGAGTTCCAGCCCAGCCTGGTCTTCAAAGTGAGTTCCAGACTAGCGAGGGCTGCATATCAACACCCTCTCTCAATAAACAAAAACTCCAAATGATTTATGACTTTCTTTGTTCTGTTACCATAAAAACTTCATGAAACTGCTATCTTGTTGGAACACAGTATTTGGGGAAATCTGAGTCTGTGTTTCTAGGCTATGGTCACTCATATTTGGTTCTAGAATAAGTTACCTGTTATTCCTTATGTGGTGAAAGCTGTAATTAAAACATTGTTTAATAATTACATTTACTTATTATTATTATTATCATTATTTGTGTGTGTGTATGTGTGTGTGTGTGTGTGTGTGTGTGTGCATACTCCCACATGTGCTGGTATGTGTGGAGGCCAGAGGATAACCAGCAGGAGTTGATTGTTTTCTTTCACCACATGGATCCTAAGGATTGAATTTAGGTTGTCAGACTTGGTGGAAAGCACTTTTATCCATTGAGCCACCTTACCAGCCCAGGAGTTATAATTTTTTGCATGGACAAAGCCCATGCTATAAGCATCCAGCCCAGATCTCCACCCCTAGCTGTTTCTCACAGCAGCCCCATCACAGCTTTCTTTATGGCCTCCCCAGGACATATCTGGGAGGATGTGCTCTCTCTGCTGGCAGCCTGGGGACAGCAACTGATTGATGAGGATATGAAAGTTTGGCCCTTAAGCTCCAGTCAGTACTGAAGAAATGCTTCAATTCATGTTCCAGGCTTTCTGTGGGATCAGAGTTGGCATCCTTATTCATCTCCTCTGCTAACCCTTTGTCTTCGTTTTCCTTTCCTGAGAACACCTATCAATAACACACATATTTCTGAATGTTCATCTTAGCTCCTCTTCTGGAGAAGCTAGCCTACATGGTGTGAATGGAGTGAGAATTCAAGCAGTGCCCATCCAGTACATCCTGGATGAGTGTAGGTGCCAGGGTCTTGTGTGAAGACAGGTAAATGAAAGTCAGAGGCTCCCTGAGGTACTGGTACGGGGTTGAGAAATAGAGGAAATGTGTATGTTGGGATATGGGGCAGTCCTGCAAGCCAAGAGGA